TGTAACTTTCCAAACCAAAATACCCCTCTCTAGCCACCACTCTCCTAGATGTCTCTCCCTATCAAGCTGTAAACCAAGAGCAAAGGCTCTCTTCACTTGAGTTTCTATTTCCAGAGCTTAGTACTAAGTAACCAAGCACTTAAGGTTTTTTCATTCATTTATACAGCCCTTTAAGATATACAAAGTATTTTCCTCACAACCACCCTTTCAGATAATGGATACAAGGGGTTTTTTTTGGTTTTTTTTTTACCTCCATTTTATAAATGAGCCCTTACAAAGGCTCATAGAGACTTGTCCAAGGTCTCACAACTTATAAGTAATGGTGTCAGGATCTGAACCCAGAGCTCTTGTCTCCCTGGGCCAGCACTCTATCCACTGTAAGACATTGCTTTCCTATAGAAGTTACCCCCATTGCTGGCTACATGTGCTCTGCCTCTATGGAAGGAGAAAAGGGGATGGGTGTCAGAACTGGGAATCTGACTCTTCCCACCATGGTCCACTAAATAAATTACTATCATTACCCTCTCTCATCATATAATAGCGCTGCTCATTTTTACAAATCATTTTCACATCTGTGATCTCATATGACCATTACAACTATTACCATTCCCTCTGTTCTGAAGAACTTTAGAAATACAAAGGAAGAATAATTTGGACAAGGTCATACAAGTTGGAGGCAAACCTGGGACTCTATCCTGCCCTTTCCAACTACCAGACCTTCTCCATGACTCCACATAGAATAATTCTCCCTTATTCTCACCCTCCCTTTCTCTCTATAGATTGCTGAGACTTCATTTCCTGGATGGATCCTCTCTTACTTGTTTTCAAAGAACTAAAAGATTCTTGGTTATTTTTTTCTTCTTCATTGATTGTCCATCATTTTCCTCCTTATCAACATCATTCCCCAAATGAATTTCTTCTTAGTTACTTCCAACCACTCACTTCAACCTTCTTGTCTCTCCAGATTTCACAGGATCACAGATCCAGAGCTGGAAAGGATCCCAAGAAGGCCATCCATTACAACCCTCTCATTTTACAGATGAGGAAACTGAGGCTCAGGGTGGGTAAATTATTTGCCCAAGGTCACCCATGGAGTGAGCATCAGAGGGCACATTTGAACCCACATCCACAAACTCCAGAGCCCAGCCTTTCCACAGCAGTAGCACACTGCTCCCCAGGCTCCCTGTTGCCCTTTGATTTTTCACTTTCCTAGGCTCATTTCATTGTCACAAATCCCTTTGCCAATAATCCCTTGGTGGAGTGGCCTTTTTCTCTCATCCCAGCCACATTTGCCACCTCCCTGCACCTCTCTTTCTCCAATAGTCTTGCTAAGAACCTCTTCATACTCCCCCAGAGAAGAAAGCTAAAAGACCAAAGCTGGGACTTTCCTCAGACTCTCGTGCACATGGTTAGCATAAGGGGATGCAGGTGCCTAACACTGCTCTTCTCATCCTCTGCCAGCCCATCTGTGATAGGTATGGAAGAATGCAGAGGGCTCAGTCTGGTTAGCTGATCTGGAAAGATTCCAACACAGTTTGATTCCATTCAACAAAGGTTTATTAGGCACCTACTGTGTGCAAAGCATTGTACTAGGTGCTGAAGGAGATACACAGTTTAGAGAGGACACAAGCCCTGCCCTGTACAGGGCTTACAATCTAGTAGGGAGAGGTGTCACACACAAATAACCAACCCGTACCTCTTACCCAAGTCTGCCAAAACAGAAACAGGAGTACATTTCCTCAACAAAGTCACACTGATCAGTTTCTACCTGGTCCCTTTTGATGAACTGTAAAATCCGAACTTGAATGGCACTAGAAGAAAAGGGCAGTGACTCCTGGATACTGGAGTCTTTGGGGATCAGGCCATTTGGAGCCACATAATTAGCATTTAAAATTTGCAAAGGGCTTTACAAATTATTTTATTTTATCCACACAACAACCCTGTGAGGTAGGTGTTATTATTATCCCCATTTTACAGATGAGGAAACTGAGAATGAGAAAAGTGAAATGACTTGCTCAGGGTCACACACCTAGTTAAGAATCTAAGGATGGATTTGAACTCGGGTCTTCCTGACTCTAAGTGCAGTATTCTACACCCACTGTTCCACAATTCTTCCCACACTCCCTATTCCCCCTCCCTCACTAAGTAATCTGGAAGACAGCTCAGTGGAGATGGGGAAAGAAAAACAGCCCAAAGCATTCTTCAGCAAAGACCTCGGCTTCCTACCCAGTGAGAGGCATCTCCAAAAACCATTTCTAAGCAAAATGAGTTTAAGGGTTAGAGGAGATGATGTCCTAGCCAAAGATTCCCAACTCCTTTTGGCATGACTGCCCAACAAGATACTGACCCAAGATGAAAGATCTCTGGGTTGATAAATCTCAAGCAAATGAGGAGCTCTCTACCTGCTCAGGATCTGAGCTAGGGGCTACAGTATTGGCAAGCAAGGCAGCCCAGCAGAAGGAAATTTCAGCTCTCCAGCTTCCTCCATCTGCTCCAGATTCTGTAAGAGGCCTGTTGAGAGGGAGCCACACACATGGGCTACATTCTCTCCATACAGCCCAATTAGAACATAAAGCCTTATCGTTCCATGCAGTTAAGGTTCAAGGTTATTAAAATCCACAGGCATGGGAAAGTGGGATCATTTCACAGTCCTTAGTATCAATGATCCAAAGCTCATTGACAAAATAAAAAGACACGGTGTCATCCCAAGAGCATCGCAGTTCAAGTCCTAGTTGGGCCCCTCAGTCATCTAGCCTCTCTGAGCCTCAACTCTCTCCTCTATAAAATGGACTTAACATTTGTACTACCTACCATTTTACAAGGTTATTGTGAAGTCAACTTAAATCAACAGGCATTTATTAAATGGGGATACAGTTAAAAGCAAAAGGCAGTGAATGAGCTTTATAAACCTTAAATGGCTATATAAACATAAGATTTTATTAAAAAATGCACTTCTCTGGGCACTTAGCCAAAGGTCCCTTTTCATATGTCCTTCCTGAAGAGATTCCAAGAACCCCTGAGCCTAATTAGGGCTGCACCAGCTGCCAGTGGAGAAACACTGGGGGTGGGGGTGGGGCTGCCAATTTAACCAAGGAACGTGAATCGCACAAAGATGGCTAGGTTATCAGTAAGGCATTGTGGTGTGGCCAATCAAACACTAGACTGAATGTCACAAGACCCAGATTCTGGTCCCAGTCCTGGCCCTAGCTAGCCTTCTGACCTGGGATTTCCTTATTTGAAAAATGAAGGGATCCGACTAAATGAGCTGAAGATTTCATTGTGGTTCAACAAACGTCTCGGGATTCCAGAAGTGAGTGGCCTGCTGCCAGCTTTGAAGACTCAGTATACTGTGTAGGTCAGAAAAGCTAAAGGGAACGTGTAGTTTAGATGGGTTTTAAATGGCAAAAAAGAAAAACGCATCAGTCCTGAAGTATTATGTTCGCAGTGGGCATTTTGGCACATGGTACAATGCATAGAATACATACCAGGAGCCAGAAGATCCAAGTTTGAGCCCTGACCCTTTTTACTTGCTGTTTAACTGACATAGCTCATTTTATTTCTCTGTAAAATGAAGGAGGTTGGACAATCTCGTTAGGTCATCCTAATTCTAGAATTCTATACACACACCAGGGTATAAAACAGAATTAAGTTTTCCAACTTGGTCCTGGAAAGGAAGGGCACACTAATCCTGGAAACAAAGGGGAGAATATACAAAAGTCTCTGGAGATGTCTGTAAGCTCCACGGTGAACAGCCATGTCAAAGGGAAGAGCAGCTGCCAGGTGGCCATCCCAAAGAGGGCGGGAAGCGAAAGTGGAATGTGGCCACTAGGTGGGGCATACTCGTTAAAAAGTTAGCCAAGGAGAGGATTCTGAAGCACCACACATAACCATCACCTTCATCATTGGGATAGGTTATGCTGCAATCATTGATGGTCCCTGGCACTTTTCCTCATTAAATATGATTTGGCTACGTGTAGGAATCTTAAGGCATTACAGAAAGGAGTTCAAGTAAAGGGTACACAGCAGTGATAATATGGAATCCTGAGTGCAAATACTGGCACTGGCACAGTACTGTACGAAAATTTAATAAGGGTGTAAGGTAGAAGGCAGAAGGGGGAAAGGAGCAATCATTTACACAGTGTCTACTATATATCTGACACTGTGCTAAGGACTTTTTAAAAAACAAATATAATTTTGTTTGCTCCTCATAACAACCCTCCCACTAGGCAGAACCATTGCAGAATATTGAGCCCCCACATATCCTAAGTATGACATATAGATCCATATAAACTTAAAAAAACAAAGCTTTTTGTTATTTTCTTGGGGTTTTTATAAATCGCTTTGATTCAAATATTTTACTGTTCTGGTTTTCGCCATTTCTATTACTTAACACGCAAAATCACAGCTTCTTATTAAGGGCAAGAATTTGATTTAGAGTTAAAAGGGCCCTTGAAGCCAATCTCATCAAATCCCTTCATTTTACAGAGAATATCACTGAAGCCCAGAAACAATGTGTTTTGTCCAATGTCACACAAATTCTAATAGTTTGGGATTCAAAACCAGATCCTCTGGTCTCCCTGCCCCAGTTCTCCCACTCCAATCCTTCTTTCACGAAGCAGCCAGTTGAGTCTCTTAAAGCATTGGTGTCACCAAGTTACCCCTCTCCTAAAAAAGCTCCATTACTGCTAGAATCAAATATAAAACTCTGCTTGACATTTTAAAATTTTGATATCCTGGACCATCTCTTTTTTACCCTTCTTCATGGAGGCATTCTATGATTCCACCATATTGGTCTATTTGCTGTTCATGGCATCTCCCATTTCCATTTGCACTATTTGTTCTGCCTTCCAGCCTTTCCCCCACCATATCTAGATTACTCTCTCAACATCTGTATCTTAGAATCCTTAGCTTCCTTCACTAATAAATTTCAAAGCCCTTCTATAGAAGTCCTTTTTTAATTCATCCCAGTTGCTAGAGCCTTCTCCTCTTAGGTTTTATTGTTCATGGGGGGGGGGGGTTGTCCCTACCTATAGCACCTCACCCCTTAGACCTTAAACTTCTGGAAGGCAAAGACTTTTGTTTCCTTAATGTCCAGTGCTTAGCCCAACACAAGCACCTACTAAAAGCATGATATTTTAACTCTGAATCCCTAGCACTTGGCATAGTGGATTCCATATAGTAGGCACTTAGTTTTTGAATTAATACAATTTTAGAGGTGTAACGGCCCTTAATGGACTACAGATAGGAAAACTGGGGCCCAAGGTGGTCAAGTGATTTACCAAAGATCACCTTTAGCAAGATGATGAGAGGATTGCGATTTTAGAAGATAGCATTTTCTTTTTACTACTTCAATGCCTCCAATATCTGCATCCTTTTCAAACTAATTCCTTTCACTTAGGGTTTTAAGTTTTTAACTCATACTTGTGTATATGTATATACAAATATACATGCAGATATATGTATTATATATACATACATACATATATACATACATACACACAACTATGTGAATATTGGAGTGGAATCCAAAGTTCAGAAAACTAGTGCGGTTCTTAATGCTTTGAAGTTTATAGCTGGGTTTATACTGAGTGACCATAGTAGAGAACCAGCACCACAATTTGAGTATCTTCCTTTTCACAGGAGTTCTTGACTTTTTTGGGTCATGGACCCGCTCAGCAGCTTGGTGAAGCCCATGGCCCTCTACTGAGAAGCATGTTTTTCAATGCTGGAATACAAGAGAAACTTTACTGAAATAATCAAAATATTTTCCAAAGCTTCATGGCATTTCATGGTTTCTCTCTTTAAGTTGTCCTGACTCCTGACGTTTGATTAAACTAGCACCTGGATAAAGCAATGTCGTCTTCTCACCTCTTGCCCGTAAGACCAGAGAGTAGGAACACTAGAAATTAGAGGTTCAGGTCTGAGGATGATCTGCCAAGTGATCAATTCACAGAAGTTAGGTTGAATTTGACGTGGAAAAGAACACACTAGGCCAAGAGCAGGAAGAACTGGCTTCTTCCCATTTAGCAGCCACATGGATCTGAAAAGGCCCCTTCACCTCTTCAGGCCTGAGACTGCTCTTTGGTCAAGGGGACACACCTTGCCCGGAGATGTCTGTGAGAGCTCTTCAAGAACCTGTGGTGTTCTTAAGGGAGAGGGCATGTCTTCCTTCTCTACAGGAGCTTATATTCCAAAGTTCCTTTAAACCTTATAGCACTGCCCATAGAGAGGCCTGCTAAGGTCACCGTCACACTCACACCAGGTTCAACCACTGCTTCTCAGAATATAAAGGCAAAGGAAAGGGTCGCATCCTTTTGGTTTCATCTTTATTTACAGGGAAGGACAGAATATGAATAGGCAAGAATATTTCATCACTAATAACAAAACAGAAAAGGCAAATGCATAAACTTAAAACAAACCAAAAAAAAAATCTAACCCCTCACCAACAACCCAACTTTAATCCAGAGGCAATTCTGGCAGCTACTGCCTCTTCCTATCATACACCTAAAGTCAGAGATCTTGAATTAGCAAGGGCAGATCTTTAACCATTTGCCTGATACAGAGGAAAGTGACCCTCACCGATGGTTAAAGGGAGCTTCACACTCTCAATTCACTTCCACAGATTTTTTTCCTGCCTGGAACCTGCTCACTACCACCACTCCAGCTAAGAAAGCATGTTTGCCCACTGGACCCAAAGAAAAATTTTAGAAGGGTCAAGTAAGAGTGGCAATCCAATCTTCATGGACTCAGCTTTGTCTTCACGGGCTAAAATAGATCTAATCCATTTTGGGGATTGGAAGATTTGATGTGAGAAGGTAAGGTGGGGGGCTGTAGTATACAGAACACGTGCTCCTAAGCTCGCATTAATTGAGGTCTTTGCTGTCAGGCCAAGAGAGTTCCAAGAGACCACAACAAAAGGTCACTTATTTACACACAGCACTGAATGAACTTAAGGGGTCTCAATTTCCCGTCCAAATCCAGGGCCATGAATCCTAGGAGATTAATCCATTCACCTCCTTAAGAGGCTCTTGTACCACATCTGATCCAGTAAACAAGTTCCAAATTCTGCAGACAACTGTCTAGCCTAGAACCCAACAACGGGCTTTGAAAATGATGCTCCCCATGATTAACCACCCCCACTACAGACATGTGGCTACATTGGAACTCTTGGGAGTGCCTCGGGGGCACAACTGCCACTTTTACCTCTCCTGGTCCACAATCTGAGCTGGACCAACTACATTCCCAATACCATCCATTAGTTCTTCTAGTACCCTTATCCCACAATTCATCCTTCCTTGGGTTAAGTGGGATATGAAGAATGGAGGAGGCAGGAGTTCTCTGGTTCAGAGATTAGCATGAAGCCAGCCTGTCATCACATTATATCATCCTGGCTACCAGGCTGCAGGTCCTGAGTTTCAAGGTGGAAACTTAGCACCTTCTGGTGATGAATCTGAAGGAACCCTCCATTGGGCTCATCTTTGTCTGCATCCTAACATCGGCACAGGGGTATATGAAAAAAAGAGAAGCTCAATGAAGGAATCTGCCAAGTCTGTAGACGATGGTGCCCTGCACAGGGCACTCAAGGACCTGGATCATACCCCTGAATTTCTTCCTTTCCTCCAATATGGTAACCTCATAGTTTTGGGGAGGACCTTTTTGGCTCCTGCTCCACCCTGGGAAATACTGGCCAGCCTCCCTTGTCTGTCAATGACTGTGACAGGGAAAGGCCAGAGAGGCTGCTATCAAACCAATGAAGGGCAGAGCAGCAGCAGAGAGAGGGACTGGAAGACTGGTAGGAGAACCTGCTGAGGGGATGGCCTTTGTCTCAATATCACACGTAGATGAAGAAGCAACTAAGTAGAAGGGTCAGTGACAACAGAAGAATCTGTCTTACAAGGCAGTGGGATAGGCAGCCAAGGCACTAAATGGTTTGGCACCTGGGAGCTTCAAGTAAATTTGAGCATGGTACCCGCTGCAAGGCAAAGACCGTCTGAGACAGACACTTCCATGGGCAGAGAGGGCCCCCACCTGGGGCGATGGTCTCCCCCATCCTGAGGCTTCTGGCCCTGTCTTATCCTCCCCCCTCCCCGTGCCTCAGAGCTCTCTGAGGTGTGACTAGAAAGGAATGTGACTGAATACTAAGAAAAAGATTCCAGAATTTCCACACACAAAAGCACGTCGTTCTCTTTCAAAGGGGACACCTCAGGAGGGTGACGCAATCTATCAACGACACTTCCATGGCTTAAAACATTCTGGAACTCCTCTCTCTCGAACTGCCTTCAGAGAGCCCTTCTCTCTGGAGAAAAATGTTTGGTATTTTTTAAAACATGGCACCTTTTTGGAGGGTTGGCAAAGCTTTGTCCTTGGGGATAGGTTCAGTCGAAAAGCATCCAAATGCCTTGGAGCCAAGTCTGTGAATAAGACGGGTCAGTGTGACCCAGGTGATGCCATCTGGGGTTGAAAGACAAGTTGTGGCCAAGTGATGAGACTGGTTTTGTTTTGTGACTCAAATGAGACCTCAAAGGCCACTTGCAAGAGTGCCCCCAATGCTTGAAGAGTCTGTCCTCTGTCCTTGTCCCACCCCCCTCCCCCACTCCCGAGTGATCTACTTTAGAAAGATCATAAATTTCAGATAAAGACAATCTGGCAAGTGTATACAAAACAACATAAAATGAAAGTAGTCATATTACTTTAAAATCACATCTCATGAATCCAGCAGTTCTGCTTTTTTTCCCTCCAGAATTCGGCTAGGAATCTATCCCAGGAAGGAAGGCATCACTAGGGGCCTGGCTGGGGTTTACCTCCTGTAACTGAGAGGAAGTTCCAGTTATTAAAGATGAAAATACACAGTCCCTTCCTTTTAGCACCTCTAAGGCACAGGATGGAGCCGTTCCCTTCTCTGTGGTAACAGCAACTTTATCCCGGTGGTCACACTGCAAATGAAAAGCACTGAGGGGAGGGGAATCAAGTTCATCCCACTAAATGCGCATGTACCCCTTCTTTATTTTTTTTTGGGGGGGGAACAAAGCTACCCCTCGGTCGGGGGGGGGGGGGACAGCTTAAGTGTCTTGCACTGGCTCCTATTGCTGAGATGAGTGGCCACGCGGCAGGATCGGAGAGCCAGAGCCACTTATCAGAAAGTAAATATGCAGAAGCCCGCACCCTTCCGTTGCTGTATAACAACAGGGCAGAGGAAATCCCGAGAGCAGATTCTGTCCAGGTACCATCAGAGGCCAGTATCTAGAAAGGTCTCCACACTACTGGCAACCTCTCCTGTTCCATTCTTGCTCTGTTTCTGTGGTGACAGCAAGCTCACACAATTCCTATTTACTCTGGTAGGAACCAGAGGCACCCTTGGCCTCTCTGAGAAGATTAAGAAGGAAAAAAGAAAGGTATATACAGACTAACTAGATGTGAGGAAAGAGAACATTCAAGACTCACTCTCTTCTGCAGGTCACTTCCTTCCCTGAGTATGATTTTGGGGTCTTCCCTCATTCCCGACTAAAACCAAGACAGAGATCCTTTCACCTTTCATACCCTTAAGGACCAGCCCCAGACGGTGGCATGCGTCAGGAGAGAGCAGCACTGAGAGGGCTGGGGAGGAATGTCAGAAGCTAATCCTGTCTAGATTTTCACCAGCACTCAGGACAATTTATCAGCTGTCCTTCCCCCTGCATTACTCCTCCCAGACAGATGCTTGAACTACTGGCTTATCCTACCTGGAAATGTAAGAAGCAAACGTCCTCTGCCGGGGCTAAAGCACCTACCCCAGAAAATACAAGCACAAACTCTCAGATATCCCCTTGGAAAATACTCACGGCAAACAGCTTTACATTATTCTACATTTACACAAAAATAGATTTTTATATATATATGTATATATTTATAACTGGTTACATGATGGACTCGTAATTCGGCATCACCGGGAGCTCCTGGCACAGTTTATCGCTTAAACTCATCTTCATTTCATCCTGCCCGTTCCAAAGTACAAAGATCAGAGGCATTTCCTCTTCTCCGGGTGTCTTCTGGCACAGTCATGTCACTGGAAACACTATATACACAGAACAGTGGGCCTCCTCGCCCGGGTTTGGGGCGGGGGCCGGAGGTCAGTGCGGCCGGCTGCTGGACTCCGATGCCTGCCGCTTGCGGGAGGGGGCATACCCGTTGAGGCAGCTGTTCGTCTGGCGTTTGGTGAGGCCTCCATTCAGGATGTCTTGGATGTGCTGCACAATGAGGTTGATGGCCACTGCAGGGGCAGAAAGGTACAGAACATCAGAAGGTCCAGGTACAGAGTCCAAAGTCATTCTCCTCTCCTTGTTCTCTTTCTCCCCTCCACTCCCACCACACCCCTCCAGGACTCACCAATGTTATCCACACCTCTGGGAATAATCACATCAGCATATTTCTTTGTCTGTGAAAAAGATTTTTTTTAAAAATTAGCATTACAGGAGAAGTCGAAGCTTCAGGAACATGTCTTACTACCAGAGCATGGAATGGGAGAAGGTGCAGGCTGAGAGCCTCAGTTATAATTCGGCTCTGTCACTTGATACCTGTGTAACTTTGAGCAACTGTTTTCCTTAACTCATGGGCGCCTCAGTTTTTGTATCTGCACAATGAGGGTTCAGGTGACCCCTTTCAGCTTCACAACTTATGATCCTATGAGTTCTCATGTAATACTGCCTTTGCTGTACTTACTAAGAATTCTCCAGTTCAAAACCATGAACTTTATATAGGCAGAACTCTGGCCAGACACACTGATTGATTCCATGGCAAACACATTATGAATGGGACTGTAAACAGACTGATGATTGGGGGAGTAAAGATACCTCAGTTTTACCTGCTAGTTTCAATTCACTGCATCTTGAGCAACAGTCTGAGCTGCTTCCCTCTAATTTCACTGAAAAGTACTGTGAAATGCCACTGGTTGTTACAACAGTACACAAGTTATGTGTGTAATTAATCTTAAAAAGCTTATGGCAAAAATCTCTCAAAAAATTAAACACAAGCCCCGGTTGGTAGAAACATGATGGATAGTGGGATTGGAGATAATTTAGAAATATGCATTGGCTGAACAAAGAACTAAAATTTTTTTCTGGTTTTATGTGGCTGCCCCAAACAATGGAACAACAATAGTGATTGCTTTAAAAAAAAAAGTCAATTTTTCAGGAGAAGAGAGAAAGAAGAGACCATGATGGAACTCAATTTTTTAAAAAAAAATAAATGTCAAAATATTGTTTACATGTAATTGAGAAAAAAATAAAAATCAAACGTATTAAAAAAGTCAATTTTCAATGACCTGTACTCAAATGATCTGATTGGCACTATCTTGATCTCAAGTTCATTTTGCCCAATCATTTCCTCTCCTTAAATTCATTAATGACATTTAACACTGCTACTATGTGCATAAGAATTTAGCACAGAAAGGCAAAAATTTCATTACCTCCTCAACATTGTGGAGGAAACCATTGTGCTTAGGATTTCACACAGACGATTCAAGAAGAAAACCCAGATAACAGTTTATTCTCTCCTTAAGGCAAGAAATAGACAACTGTGGGAAGGGAGGCATGGAATGAGTGAGGGCTGTGAATATGAAATATTGTCTTCTGGAAACTCCAAAGTATATTCTAAAGCTAAAATATAAATGATTTGGAGATTTTACCTGCTCCCAAGCTTTTCCAGTTGTGTTGATGACTACAAAATAATTACTCCACTAGCAGATTTATTTTCCTAATTACTTTCTGCTCAGACTCACATCAGGAACTTAATTCAATAGGGAACAAAAAGTAAAAAACAAACTGTACTAATTTCCTGAACTGTAAAACTAAGTATTAATTCTGTTTTACGTGAGTTCCAAAACTAAACAGAAATGTGCTTTCTGTGTGTGATTTAACTCAACATGACAGAATCCATTCAAGTAAATACAGTACCATCTTTTCTCCCTAGATAGACTGGCCTCTAAGTTCTTGAGGGACAGAACTATACACCTTTCAATATATATGCAGTTTTTTGCATGCAATAAGGGATAGATATCTACTGGTTGATTGATTGTAAACTGGAAGTTTGAGCAAGAATGGGGGGATGAAATGTCTGAGGACAATGAGAAACTCTGAGAAACAATTTGAAGTAAAAATCCTAAAAGGTCAAAGACAATCTTCTAAGACTGATAAATTAGAATAGCATTTCATAAAAGTATTCCCCAGCCAATTGTGAATTCTGAACCAAACTGAAGAGGCATTCCATCTCAGTCCCTGGCTTACAATGGAATGCGTTGGCTTTCCTTGAATATTTAATAGCTAAACGGGAGGGAGGAATGAGTTGGATGGCTGGAGATACAGACTGCCCCAAATTCTAATTTGCACCAATGTGCTGTGCAAAAAATCAGAAAGAAAACAAAATTAACCAGAGTTACCTATGCTCACATTAAGAAATGTGGCAGACTCACGGAGGGGGAGAAGGGAACAAGCTTTTCTTAAGCACCTACTATGTGCCAGGCACTGAACTGCTTTTAAATATTATCTCATTTGATCCTCAGGAGGTAGCTGCTATTATGAGCCCTACTTTACTGTTGAGGAAACTGAAGCAGACAGAGGTGTGACTTGCATGGTCATACAACTAATAAGTATCTGAAGCTACATTTGAACTCAAGCCTTCCTGACTCTAGCTATCTCTATTATTAGAGATAAAAATGGCAGAGGGGTGCCACTGTGGAGTCTCACTGCTGCTCTGCTATCAAGGCCCTCTGCCTGTCACCATCTGACCTGACCCTACAAAGAAAATCCCCAGAAGGACCAGGGTACCTGTTGCCCTAACTGAATCCTTGAGATTTCCCCTATTTCTGATCTGACACTGGCTACCTTAAATTAGGACTGGTTTGTGATGATTTTCTACAAAGTATCTCTTTAATCAGACTTTGTTTAAACCAAGTTTATGGAAGGGAAGTGGGAGTGAAGATGAAAACTTTGCAATCCCTTTTCTAAAGGGATGCAGACAATAATTACAATTCTTGGCTTCCCAGACCAAACGGCCTTCCTCACCCTGCAGAAGGATTCGTGCCTATCAATCAGCTTCCAACAGATGTCACTCAGGAGCCAGGCCAAACTCCCATCTCATAACAGTTTGAATAAAATGGAGCCACAAAGGCCAATATCACTGAGACGGAGAGCGGAAATCCCTACACTGAATCCTCTTTCCAGATCATTCTCCCTCTACCCCCCATCCTGGCCCCTTCCCTCATGTACCAGGGAAGATGACCGCCCCTCAGGGGCTGGGCTCCAAAGACTTCTCCTCAAGGGATGCCTTCCTTCCCTGAAAATGGACTAGAGTCACTTCACTTCGGAGCTGGAGAACTCACAGGACCAGTTGATGCCACAGGAACAGCCCACGGCTCAGTGCCGAGGAGGAAGTGAGGAAATTTTTGAGGCAAGTCTCAAGTACAAAGCTTATTTTATGTCTCCCTCTCAAATTTAAACCAGCTGTTTCAGAACTAGTCAGAACCAAAGAAAAATGTTAAGAGGTAAAAACCTGTGGGAAAGTCATTAGGGGAACAGACCTCGTGGCATACAACATTCCCCACCTTCCCCTGCATCTTGAGCAACAGGCTGGGTTGCTTCCCTCTCATTTCATTTGAAGGTACTGTGACCAATATGAAACCATGTTGCTTAAAAATGTAATTATCATACTGCATGAAACAGCTGAGTGAGTAGAGGCTGCTGAGTATCTACGTGGCTGGCCTGAGACCTGGCAGCAAAGAGAATACCAGATCCCATGCCAAAGGGATTAAAGACAGAGCTATTCCCAGAATCCCTCGTGGGGCAGGTACATTTAACTTTGCCAGGCAAGAAACTGGTTCAGGTGGCCTTTCTCTGGGCCTCAAGAAGGGAAGAAACTCTGGCATCTATAAAGAACAGGGAGGAGAGGGAAGCTAATGTCAGAGAAGTCAGAATTACATCAATCTGAGTAAGCTTTGTTTGCATTATTAAATTGCAATTGAATAATTACAATTAAGAAGAATGGGGGTGGGGAGTGTGCAAGAACTTACTGGCAAGCAGAATTCTTCAAAGGCAGGTTTGACAAACGTAATGTACTGAGATAAGATCTGTTCCAGGTCTCTCCCTCTTTCACTGATGTCCCTTAACACTATGAGAGAAGGAAAAACAAGAGTCATGAAAATGCTGCACCGGCCAACGCCTCCCGCCTCTCTTTGAGGCCCTTTGGGCTCTGGCACACAGGAACCAGCAGACTATTCAAAGAACAGGCCAGCTGCAATCTAGGGAACACTAAGTAGCATCTGACGTCTTACCACCAAGAAAATCCCTGCATAATGCAAGGGACCACCAAGGCTAACCAAACAGCCTATTTTGTTTCTGGTATGTTTTTTTTCCATATTTTACAGTAACAAAAAAGACCTGGATCAGTCCCTTGGAGTCTGTTTCACTAGTTCGACTAGTCTAGTTCCACTGGTTCTCGGTTTAGAAAGGTCATGAGCTGCTCCTGCCTGCATGTCAAAGCCAGGTAGAATGAGGTGGGCAGAGAAAATAAATGCTTGTTAATTAAAAAAATAAAACAAAACAAGAAACTGATACATCAAAGACTTCCTGCTCCAACTTCTTTGTAAGTGAAAGATGGGATGGGGAGGGGGAGAGGGAGTGAGGCTGTGCTGGTCTGAATTCTGAGTGTGTAACAACTTGGTTAGTTCTGCTGAATTGTCTTTTCCCCTCTCTTTATTCTTTGTTCCGGGATTGCTCTAAGGATACAACGGACAACAAAGGTAATATAAAAACAAAAGATATCAATAACATTTATTAAAATAAAGGAATTATGACCTGTCCAGGTTTGCCAAGCATGCCAAACAGAACTACAATAAACAAATTATACTTTTCCATAACAACCCTGTAAAACAGATACACTTTCCCCATCAGAAAGTTGAGAACAGAGAATGTGCACAAGATGACATCACCTGGCAGCTAGTAAATGCTAGTAAATGTCAGGTGAGATTTAAACCTAGAACTCCTGACTTCAAGTCCTGTGCCCCCTTCCAGCTACATCTTGCCACTAATCTGACTAAATTTTAAGCATTTTGAGGTCACAGTGTAGTGAACAAAGTAGATTCAATAAATGTTTGCTGAATAAATGAATACTGGGAGGATAATGAATGAAACTCACTCATATTGTTCTCAGGTCTAGACCCAAAAAGGTGGGACAGAAGGGCACTTCAGGCCCTAGGTTCATGAAAATATGTTCACATGTTTTTCCCAATTACCTTATTAAGTCACCTCTCATCAGGAAAATCTTGTAATTTTTTTTTTTGGAAAAAGGTAAAGAACAACCTTGGCTTTCTCATTAACTGTGCTGCTCTCTGGTCCTCTACTTTCCCATAGATTAAAAGTAGCATAGAGGGGACCACAGAGATTACAATGAGATTTTTTTGATGACAGCCCCAAATTACCTCTGGTTAAACCTCTCTTTCCCTTACTAGGAATGTATTACATCTTCTTTAGATGTTTTTATATCAATATTTCACTGAAACCCACTCTCACTAAACAAGATGCGTTAATTTCCACCAACAAACCTCTATAAGGCATCTATTGTAGAGCTCAAAATTAGGCTGCATTTCACTGTAAACAAACCTGTAAAAGAGTAGAATGAAGAAAGATGCATCTGATTTATTCTGTATGGGGGATGGGAAGCAGAGTGGAACAGAAGAAAGGTTAGAAAAGGAAAAGGACAAAATGCCCCCCTAACTTAGCAACACTGGAATCCCTGCAAAAGCACTTTTTTTTTTCAGCTCAAGAAAGAAGGTGACAGTCCCAACACTGAAACAAGAAATAACCACAAAATCTAGTAACTCCCCTGGAAGAATCTGACAACCAGGAAGAAGAATGAATGCATTCGCTGCTCGGAGCAGCTTAGGCTGGGTCCTTTCTGGTCTGATAAAATGTACATACAGGACTGAAAACAAGAGATGACCATCAAAAAAGTCAAGATACCTATGTCTGCCAAGGGAAAAGGCACGCACCCTTGTCCAGATAACAGGAAGGGCTGTCATTTTGTAGCTTAGTACAGATTTGTCCTAACCCCTGCCCCACCACATAGGCAAAGGACAGGACATACACATAGAAACCATGCCCTTTCTACAGTTTCATCCTGGAACTTCGGGGTCTCCTCAGTCTGGAATATCCTACTAGCTCTGGGGTCTGCTCATCCTAGACTATTTCTCTGCAAGGCAAACTTCATCCCCCTTCTAATGGTGAGTAATGTTGGTGAGCTTATTTTCATCTTTCTCCCACCCTGTTCCTGACTTCCTGGATTAAAACCATGCTATGTTCCCACCAAGTACTTTCAACCTGTTCCCATTAGAACATAAACTCTTTGAGTGTCGGGACATCTTTTTTCTGCTTGTATTTGTATCCCTAGGCACTCAGCACAATGATTGTCACATGGTAAGTACATAATGAGTATTTGGTTCTCTCCTTTTTCTAGCCTTAATAGATTCATATGGAATAAATGCTTTTGACTAGACAAGAGGATGCTGGGGAGAATATAGCATCAACAGAGAGAGTAGGTCAAGTCATGGTGACTACCCTGCTCTATGGAAAAACAGTGTATGTCATTTGGGCGAAGTGCCATTCAGGCTTACAATGACTTCCTCCAAACAGCTATTTATTCAGATATTTCATAAGAGACAACTACTATGTGCTGAGCACTGTGCTAGGCACTGAGGGAAACACAAAGTTTGGATAAGACATGAATTCTGCTTATAATCCAGTACAAGAATAAGACACAAAACAAGCAACTATAATATGAAATGTTACATGATAGTTATGTTGAAAGATAAAGAATAAAAGGCTGTCAGGTCCAAAGAGGAGGACTGTTAACAAAGAGATCAGGAGTGGCTTTATATAGGAGGTGGCATTTGAAATGGGCTTTAAAGGACAGGTAGCAGAGGCAACATGAAAAGAGGGCTAGATTAGGAGTCAAAGAACATGAGTTCAAATAATGGCTCTGTCATTCACTAATACTGTGATCAGGACAAATCACTTTATTATTTATTAGGCCTTGGTTTTCTCATCTGTAAAATGACTAGATGACCTCTGATGTCCCTTCCAGGTCCACAACTACAATCTTACTCTTGCTAATTCTCTCTGATTCAAGGTGGCAAAGGAAGAGAAAATTAAAGAGAAATTCCAGCATTTATAACACACTTCATATTTACAATGAAGAAGTCAGTTGCTCAGGGATCAGTAAATAAATCAATCTGGATCTCATTTCATGCCTTGAATTCTGGGGAAGGGTGCACTTGTGAAGGAAAAGTTCAGAAAGAGCCAGGTATTAGTTCCTTTAAGTCTAATTGGCTTTATTCACATATCCTTAGATGAGAGACATCAATGTCATGAAGGTAGAAATCCCATCGCAAAAGCATTTGCCCATGGAGACCAACCAGGTCTCCCCTTGGAATATCAATGAAAAGGAAAAACATATAATTATATTTAAAAACAAACAAACAAGAAAAATTGGATGGAGGAGGGAGGTAAACTTTAAGCCTCATGTAATGCTTTTCCATGTGACCACTACTTCTTCCTCTCCTTAAGCACACCTCTGTTACAAAAGGGTAGTTCAGAAAGCTGGAAAATCTCACATACATACTAGAGAGAGATGGTATACCAGTGGATGAATCTCAGAAACAGTAAGTGATCAGCAAGGAGAATGCTTTGATGCATGCACAATATATCTTGTTGTATGAAGGGAAGGATTAAAGAAAGGGACACAAAAGTCTACTCTAAAAACAAGCCACATGAAGAAGGAGAAAGCCTTGACTGTCTCACTCTGACAACTATTACTACCTAAGAGTTAGAGCCAGAAAGAACCTGAAATATTACTCCAGCCCACTCTCTCATCTTAAATAAGAAAAGTGAGACTTAAGAGAAATTATGAGATTTGACAGTCACACACAACTAAAAAGTCACAGAACTGTGATTCCAGCTTGGGTCCCCTACTTCCAAATCCCAGACTCTGCTTAAGGCTGGACGAAGACATGCAGAAAAGGTAACAAATACAGAGGAAGTTTTAACTAAAGAAAGTGACTTGAAAACATAAAAAGCAATGAAATACATGAAATAGAACTTTTTTTCAAGTTTATTTCTATATGGAAATATGCGAGAGATAGAAACCTAGAAAGCATCAAGGGACCACTTTACAAGATAATTAAGGCAGGGTAAGATATCAAAATAAGTTAAAAAATATAATTAATGGACAATATTATTATCATCCCACCCCCAAAAGGCAAGTAAGCAACATCAATAACTCTTGCCAGCTATATTACTTTTACATATTTTTTGTGAGTAAAATAACAAAAAAAGATTTGACTCAGTAAGACAAAATGTAGCTTTAGAGTTCTCCTCCAACCTCAGATCTCTAATGCCTGTTAGGATCAAAGAAGATTCCTTGATATTTAGCAACAGGACAACAGAAATCATCCTGTTCAGTACCTGATTATTCATTTCAAGTGAAGTATAAACATTTGTGCCTGTTGGAAAACATTCACATGTGGCTGTCTGCTCTCTGAATGGAAGCACTAAGGGCCCTTTCACCTATGATTATTCTTGATTTATCCCATTCTCTGAGGCTTTGACTTCAGCTCCAACTTCATGGGCTGGACTGGCAATGATGTGAGCCTGGGCCTGTGGTCACCCAGCCCAATATCATGTTCTAACATTATCTGGGAATCTGTGAGTAACAGTGGTGGGAAATCTAACGGGAAAGCCTAATGACTACCTGGCACACCGAAGTGAGGGCAAGCAGGCCTACATGATGTGCTTGTGTGCACACACATGCACACATACACAGTGTTTTCTATAGAAAGTTAAGGAAACGATACAAGGGCTTTCATGGGGGACCAATAAATGGGGGAGAGGGGGAAGGACTGAGCAGAGTGCAGCAGTGTAGGGTAGGACAGGGGAGGGGAGAAATATGAAAAGATTTCCTAACTCAATCTGGGTAGTAGCATCATTAAAAAGAAAGTCCACCATATCTTGCCCCTAAGCAGTATAGCTTTAAAGACACAGGCTTACAGAATCAGAGGATGCTAGGCCCAGATCATCTGGTCCTTATTTTACAGATGGGAACCAGGGCTCAACAAAAGCTAAACAGTGGAAGAGCTCCCAACTCCAGTCTACCACACTGCTTTCTCTGGAGAGTCACCTATTACACATTACAATGCTCCTAGGAAGAGAAAAATCAGGTTTTCACTTCCCTACAGTCTTCTAATGTCTCTCTTTTTTTCATCTGGATACGGAACCTAATAGTTATTGCAAAAGACAAACTGTAGAACTTAGGCAGGCAACAGGGCCCAGAGGAAAAGAGCATGGGCTCTCTCTGAAGTACCTGGGTTCCCATCCTGGGTGTGTTCACTACCTGTGTGACACTTTAAAGAACTCATTGAAACTTGCTAGTCTTCCAATTTCTTATGTGCAAAATGAATAGGTCAGACTGGTTCCCTTCTAGCCATGGGGCTATGATCCTATCAGCATTTTATCTGCCTAAAAATCAATCTGTATGGGCCCTGAGAACCAAAATGACATTCAGGGGCTGTGGCCATGGGATCTGTTCTCACCAGTGCTTCTCCTATAAAACTGGCAACATTACTGACCCAGTGCATGGGTTATTAGACAGAACTAAAACACATAAAGCACTTTAAAATAAACAAACCAACCCACATCTACTATGTGCCTAGCATGGGCCAGGATATGTGCCTACTGTGCTAGGTGGGAGGAAACAAAGGTAAAACAAAATTGTCCTTGAATTTTATCAAAACAAAAGTGTATGTGGAATTAAATACAAGATCATTTTTCAAGAGTGGGGCACTGGGCGGGGGGGAGGGAGATTAGAAAAGGCCTCATATAGGAGATGGCATTGTGTTTTTAAAAGCATATAAGATTAAAAAAAAGTGAGTAAACTGTCTATACCCCTTGAGTCCGATATCCCATTAAGATGCAAAAAATAGTCTCAATTACACCAAAAGCAGCATTTGTGTCATGGAAAAACAAAACAGAAATAAAGTTGATGCTCACTGATTAGTGATGGGCTAAGTAATTATAGTAAATAAATGCAATGAGATATTATTGAGTGATATATAATTATAAAAAGGAAGGCCAAAGAGAAGAAGCAAAGGAAGACTTACAGGAGACAGATACTAGCAAAGCCAGGAAAAGACACTTAATTCAACAATGTAAATTGAAAGAATAACAACAACAAAAAAAACTTAATATGGTGTAATCATAAAGACCAAGCTTTGTGCCAAAGAAGAGATACAAGAAAATGTGTCCCTCCCTCCCTCCCCACCCCCGCCGCCCCTTTCCAGAGATGCGAAACCCTACTGGATTTGGCTGAGGTATCAGTCACTCTTGCTTAACTGTTCCCCCACCCATTTCTTGTTTATTTTATTAGAAAGGATTGATTCCTGATTAGAGAACAGGAGAGGGACATCCTGGGAGACGAAAGGGATGCAAAAGCAAAAGATAAATGGAAAACATTTTTTAAAAGATGATTTGAAAAAAAAATTGGATATAGGGGAAAACTGGCAGAACTACTCTCTAGTTAAGGTTTAAAGGACAGACTGTTCTTGACTCAGAATACCCTGAAGCCAAATGTCCTGATCTTACACTGAATTTCCCACAAGGACGCTATTTGGAACTGAGTATTCAGCCCAAGCCCTTTCCCGTAAGCCCGCACGCCAGCCTCTTAGGTTACCCAACAGTGACCTCACCGGGGATTTATTATCCGGTACAGAATGACTGACTAATACTGCCTCTAATGTCACCAGAAACACTTCCCCATAAGACATTCTGGAAGGAAGAGGGCTCTTCTGCTCGCAGGTGAGCACATTCAGGCTATGAATTCCCACGGGAAAGAAAGTAGGATCCAAAGTCTATGTTGCTTATACCACAATATGAAGGGGAGGCTTCCAGACCCACCTCTACGGGAGAGTCGAGTGTCTGCGTCCGTGTCCACAAAGAGCTTCATCTGGAAGAGGTCTCGCACCTCCTGGGAATAGAAAGCAAGGATCCCTTCAAAAAGCACCACATCGGCGGGATACACAGTCACCGTCTCCTCTTTCCTGCCAGGCACAAGGCAGAAAGTGAAAAACGGTCAGACAAAAAAGGACAGAATACTGAGAAAAGGGCAGGAAGGAGGGCATCTGACGAGGAGGTTAGATTCTCTGCCAAACTCTGAGTCAGGGGCAAAGCTTTTGGAAAGGGCACAAGAGGATAAAGTTTCAAATTCTACCCATATATGACCAATCACTTAACCTCTCTGGGACTCAGTTTCCCCCTCAGTAAAACAAGAGGGTTGTGCTCAATGGCATCTGAAGTCCCTTCTAGGTCTAAAATTATGAAACCATGATCATACTCTCTGTCCACCTTCTTACCCCAGGGACAAAGAAAAGGGTTTAGTTAAAACAGCTTTAAGGAGCCTTCTGCGATATACGGGGTGCAAGGACACCACAGTCACAATTGGGACAAGAGCCTCTTCTAAAGTGACTGAAGGCACTTAATAAGGGCAACTAGGTGACAGTGGATACAGCACTGAGCTTGGAATGAGGAAGACTCATCGTCCTAAGTTCAAATCTAGCCTCAGAAATTGACTAGCTGGGTGACTTAACCTTGTTTGCCTCAGTTTCTTCATCCGTAAAATGAGCTGAAGAAGGAAATGGCAAACCCCTCAAGTATCTGCCAAGAAAATCCCAAATGGGGTTAAACAAAGAGTTGGACATGACTGACTCTCCATGACCCCATTTGAACTTTCCTTGGCAAAGATACTGAAGTGGTCAACTCATATGTTGACAGGCAAAGCTGGAGAAAATCATGAAACTAGACTGACTGGGTCCACTACAGATTTATGATACATAATCTCAACTGGGCTTTCACCACGGCAAGACTATCCTTTTACATCTCCCTAAGTGATTCATTATCCCATTCAACACAGAAGCTTTTCTAAAACTTATCCCTCAAGCCTCCCACATCCCTTCTCTATCAGATAAGAACCTTGCCTCAAATTCTCTGAAAAAAATTGAGGCCATTTGCTAGGAGCTCCCTCTTCTCCTTTCCTGCTCATCTCATATCATTCTAATGTCTTCCAACAATGTCTCCTCCTTCATGAGGGGGGGTGACCCTTTTCCTAACTAAGGTAAACTCCTTTAAATGCACAAGTGGTCCCATTTCATCAATCTTCAAGAGACCACCTCTGTCATCCCCATTCTCACTAATCTTTAATCTCTCCCTCCCTGTTACCTACAAATATACCCATGTCTTTCTCTAGCCTCAAAAAAGCCCTCCCTGTATTGGTCCATCACCAATAACTATGATCCTTCTCCATTTAGAGGCTAAACTCCTTGAGAAGACCACCTACAAGGACAGCTAGGTGGCACAGTGAATAGAGTACTGGCTCTGGAGTAAAGAGGACTTGAGTTCAAATCCGGCCTCAGACACTCAACACTTACTAGTTGTGTGACCCTGGGCAAGTCACTTAACTAAGGAAGGAAGGAAGGAAGGAAGGAAGGAAGGAAGGAAGGAAGGAAGGAAGGAAGGAAGGAAGGAAGGAAAGAAGGAAGGAAGGAGGGAAGGAAGGAAAGACAGGAAAAGAGAAGACCATCTATAATCAGTGTCTCCACCTCCTCTCCTCTCCCAGAATTCAAGATGCTCTGTAATCTGGCTTCTAACCTCATCATTTGATGAAATCTGTTCTTTCAAAAGTCACCAATGACCTCTAAAGATGCCAAAATACAATAGCCTTTTCTCAATCTTCATCTTTCTTGACCTATCTGTAGCCTCTGACATTGCCAATCACGTTCCTTTCCTTGATCCTCTCCTGGCTCTCCTCCTACCAGTCTGACCATTCCTTCTCAGAGGCCCTTTGCTGGATCTTTTATCCTTTGTCTCCCCAATGCTTAGAACAGTACTTGGTACATGACAGAGACTTAATAAATGCTTGTTAACTATGGTGAAGGCACCACCGTTCTTCCAATATCCTAGAGGTTCACAGCCTCAAAATTATCCATTCTCCCTCAATCATCCAATCAGCTACCAAATCTTGTCATTTATACCACTATTGTACTCTGACCTTTTATCTCTATTTGCAAAGTCACCATCTAGTTCAGGACTTCATCTCTATTACCAACAGCCTCCTACCTGGACTCCTTGCCTCAAGGTTCTCTCCATTCCAATCCATCCCCCACATACGTGACTGTCAAAATGATTTTCTTTAAGCACAGACATGACCCTACTCAAACTCCACTGGCTGACTTTTTGCTTCTAGGATAAAATATGAATGCCTCTGTTTGGCTTTTAAAACCCTTCACAATACAGCCCCAACCTATTCCAGTCTCATAATATAGTATTCCTTTCCCAAAATCTATGGTGCAACCAAACTGGCCTTCTTTTTGTGCTCCCATCGTGGCTCATCAACACACATTTGCACTGACCATCCTCTTCGTTTGGAATGCAAGCTCTTCCCAACTCCTTTTCACAGAATTGCTCTCTTGACTTTCAAGTACCACTATCTATATAAAGCCTTCTCTGAAGCACCAGAGTACTGCCCCTAACTGCCTTGTACTTGTCTGGGATATGGACATGCTTTCTCCCCCACAGAATGAAAGCTCTTTGGGAGAGGGGGAGGGAATCTTTTTGTCTTGGTTATCTTCAGTGACTAGCACAATGCTTTATAAATGCTTAAACTAGAAGAACTAAGCTTTAACTAGGAAAAATGCTACCCCTAGGCAAAGGTATCCAAGAAGCTAAATATTTGGAGACCGCCTATAAATAAGAGATTACATAATGACCCTGGGCTTTGGGGCAGCTAAAAATCAAAGAATTAAGTCCCTAGTCTGATTAAGGATTCCCTAGTTCTTAATCAGATAATCTGATACTGCTTTCACTGAATAGGCCTGGAAAGCTAATAATAACAGTAACAATAACTTACATTTATATAGTGCTTGCTATGTGCCAAACACTATGCTAAGCACTTTACATGTATTATTTGATCCCTCATACCAACCCTCAGAGGTAGATGCTATTGCTGTTCACACTTTATAGGTGAGAAAATTGAGGCAGACAGAGATGATGGGACTTTCTAAGAGTTACACAGCTAGTGTCTGAGGCTACATTTGAACTCGGGTCTTGCTGACTCCAGGCACAGTGCTCTATGCACTGAACCACCTTAGATGCCTAGGTGAAGGAAGAAGGTGGAAATATTAGTAGGGCTGGCTGATTCTTTATCTAGTCTTTGCCTAACAACCCCAATCCTATTTCACCACCCCACATCAGTAGGATAGAAAAGGGCTTGTTGTCTTTACAATCCCTTTCCCCCATTAACTTCCAGCCTTCTGATATAGGATCTTAAGGGTAAAAGCTCATTTTTATGACCCACCACCAGCTTTAGGTAGCGCGTGATGAAGTTGCAGGCATGCCCACAGCACTGGTGCTGTCAATGAATATGTCCTATTACAAACACAACCATAAACCTTATCTCCCAGTCCTAAAACTCTACCTACATGAGGCAGTTCAGACCCAAGAGCTGCAAGCCTACTATGTGCTCTGGGAAGGAAGAGCAAAAATCCCCACCCCTGAGCAAGGGAGGAAGTCTCTTACCGAGAATGGGAGACGAAGTCGTACACAGGAATCTGAACTGTCTTTCCTTCTGTAATTTCTTTGAGGGTTTTGAAGATGAGCTCATTGTCGAAGGCATCTAAGGAAATAGAGGTGCTCTTGGCTCAGTTGTATACCCCATAAAGCCCTAAAAATGTTTCAAAATGACACAAACACCCACAAGTGTTGAGAGTTTATTGACTTTTCTCCCTGTAATGAGGCACTTGGTAGCCAGCACACAATGACAAGTGGGTTCTCATTTCAGGCACATCCTTAAAAAAGAAGGTAATGCATTCTGCCTGCATCCCTCTCCTCCTTTCTTTGTAGAAGCTGGTGGCCATAATCGTGGAACAACACATGTAACATCAGGCTGTTATATACTTGTTAGTCCTGATGAACTTTTTCTCCCTCTTCTTAAAAGTCCAGCTTTCCTTCCCCCTTCTCCACCAGTTTCAGATCAACTCAAAGGGCACTGATATAGCTAGAAATCGGAATCCCTGGTAAGATCAGGAGCAGGATGGCTAGAAGAGCAATGTTTTGGCAGAAACCCAGGACTGCTTTGCTAATCACTAATCGATTCCCCACAGGGGCAGGACTTGCGTGCTGATAAAGGCCGCCAGAGGGTGGGGAAATGCAGCTGTGAGCATGTAGGCAGCCAGAGTGCTGAATATGTGTGTATGTGTGTGTGTGTGTGTGTGTGTGCGCGCGCGCGCACATGCTCATGCAGTGTGGTTAGGGCAGGGGGGTTCCTGTCCTGTCTTGTCTGTCTCTCTCCCTCCCTCTTTCCTTTTCCCCCACCTACCACCAAACTAGACAGTGCCACTTCCTTACCTGGGTGGTCAAAGTTGAACTGGCCCTTGAGGGCCTTGGCCTTCTGCTCCACGGTCAGCACCCGGTAGAAGCTGTCCTGACTCAGGATCACCACCTGCTTCTGGTGATAATCCACCTCATTCTGGCCCAGCAGCTGCACAATTTTGGAACACACTGAAGACTGCAACAGGAGAACAAAAACTGGTGGTTAGGTTACAAGGGAGAAAGGTAACAGGTTGGGAGAGGCCCCATCTCCCTAGGCTGGAGGGCAAGCTTAGGGGTGTGGAAAGTCAGGACCTGTGGGTGCTTATAATTCCCTACTTCATCAACATATATGGATCTCAATAACCCATAACAAGGATGGCACAGATAATAAATTTTAAAAAAAATTTAATCTCATTTTAGTTTGACTGACTTCCCTTTCTCTTATCTTTCTGCCCCATCAGCCTCTAGCTAGAGGCATAAAGATAATGAAATTGTACAAAGGAGAAGGAAGGGAATAATTGTTATTTAGACAGTGCTTTAAGATTTGCTAACTTTTCCCACCAGAATTTGGTTAATAAAATAATATGATCCCATTTTTCTAGGTGAAGAAATGAAGAGTTCTAGAGTTAAGTGACCTGCTATGACCATGCCATAATCACATTCTGAGTTAGGATTTAAAAACCTAGGACCTAGGTCTTTTGACTTGGTGTCTAATGCTGTTTGACTACATCATGCTACTTTCTCAGCAAGGAAAGAAAAAAGCAGAGAGATGTGCAAACTCCTAGATAATAAAGTGAATAATCAGTTCCAGGTAACCAGAAAGTACTTGTAGTATTCCAGACAGCCCTCACTGGAACATTTTTATGCATGTCCTTAATCATGTAAGCTGGATAATTCTTTTGTGCTGGTAAAAGCTGCTGTGCTCCTGAAGTCTAGAACACAAGGTCACCCTCTAAATATGGCATTTCCTTTTGAAACATTACATGGTCCTAGACCAAAGCATAAACCTTATCATTTTGGGGAAAAGCCATAGTACCCTGCATAGGTCACCACACTGACCTGCTAACCTCTGCACCAAGCTATTGGGATGTCCTGGATAAATGGACACCTTGTAAAAGCCTATGCTACTCCCTTGCTCTCTAAAGGTCCACGGCCCACACAAGTTAGGAATCACTGATCTCACCTAACCCCCTTTACTTTACAGATGAGAAAACTGGGATACAGTGACTTGCCCATGGGCACATAATCAGAAACAGGTCTGGAAATGAGATCTCTTGTCCAGAGTCTTTTCCACACTACAGACAACTGTGTATGTTATGCCTTAAGGAGACTTGATACAAAAACCTCATTCTATAGTCCCTATAGTTTCCTTTGAGAACTTCATTATGATATCTTGTAAAATTCTGGATAAAACTGCCCTTGTTAACACAAACAAGGTGGGACCATTTCAGTAAAAATACACAAGGGCATGGGATTATAGATTTAGAACAGGAAGACACCGGCCTCCTTGCTATTCCTCTCCCAAAACACCCTGATTCCATGCATTTTCACTGGGTAGCCACGGCCCTAGAAGGGTCTCCTCCCTCCTCCATTCCTGGCTTCCCTTGAGTCTCAGTTAAAATGCCACCTTCTTCAAGAAGTCTATTCCCTTCAATGCTACAGCATTTCTCCCGTTGATTACCTCCAATTTATACTGTATATAGTTGTTCCATGGTTCCCCGTCCATTTGATTATAAGCTACTTGAAGGAAAGGACTGATTTGTCTTTATTTGTACTCCCAGTGTTTGGCACAGTACTTGACACATAGTAAGTAGACCCTTAATGAATGCTTGTAGACTTGACAGGACACAAACTCTGTCATTTTATATACGAAAAGGTGAGACTCAGAGAGGATAATTAACTTATTCAAGATAACAAAGGTAGGCGTTCTGGTTAGAGTACCAGGGCTAGAATCAGGAAGACTCTTCTTCCCAAGTTCAAATTTGGCCTCAGACACTTATTAGGTGTGTGACCCTGGGCAACTGTTTGCCTCAGGTTTCCTCATCTGTAAAATAAGTTGGAAAACCCCAAATGCGATCACAGAGTCAGACATGACTAACAACAACTTCTGACTTCAAATCTATATCCTGTATGTCACCCGAGTCTATAATTTAAGAACCAGATATTAATTTGTATAAATTAAAAATCCATCTGGAAGACCATGGATCCACAGTCTAGCAGATGGTCCTGGTCTTCGTGTTCTCTTTCTAGAAAGCTGAGTTGGATAGAGGGAAGATGGCATGGGTGTAGTCACTCACCCTTTAGAACTTTTAATTTTCTTATTTTTATCAAATAATGGAAAAGGATCATTTTGGAACAATATGATACTTTAGTTAATGAAAAAAATAAGTTGAGTTCACAAATGTGAAATTCAAAGGGTGTGTTCAGATTACAGAAATCGCCTGACACTATGAATGAAATCCACTTTATAGAAGTAATCAGTTGAATAATGAGGAAACAGAACAAACGAAAATGCCCAAAGGAATCTCTGAAAGGCGGGAGTTTTGAATTATATCATAACAGCTAATTACAGTATGATATAACTGGGGAAAGTAATAGGCATATACCCCAAGGAGGTCAAAGACTGAAAGAATGGCCCTAAATACCAAAATATTTATAGAAGGACCTTTTTGTGGTTGCCCAGAACAAATCACGGGTAAAGGTCATGGTCTATTACTGTGCTGTAAGAAATTACAAATGTGACGACTTCTAAGAAATATAATAAGGCTTTTATGAACTAATACAGAGTAAAATAAGAATTAGGAAAATATTCTACTCAGTGACTATACGAATGATAAAAGGAAGCTGAATTCTGAGTACCTATAATAAACAATCTTGTTTCTGGATAATAGATAATGAAGCATGGACATCTCTCAATAGAAAGGCAGGGAACAACAGTTACATAGTGATGTATATACACTGGCAAACATAGTCATTGTATGTTGTTTTTGCTGAGCTTTTATCATAAAGGAGGGTCCAATGCTGAGGGGAGAGGTAAGAAAAGGATTTATCCAGAAATAACAAAAGTAAAAGCAAAAGGCTTGACATTTTAAAATAAAATATGGGGATTAGATTGGGAATTTTATTTATGGGCTTATCAGTATTATAACAGATAAGACTATGCCTTGGCTTTACCATCTACAAAATGGGGATGGAAAATTAATTTGACAATTATTTTTGTATATAAAAGCCAGTTAGGTGGACTAATCATTACTGTGTGACATTCTGAGTAACTACAACAATCTTGGAGAAGAGATGATGAAGCACGGTGGGGAATTACAGTTACATGATGATGCATATACTATCAAACACGGTCACTCTATGTTGTTTTTGTTTAACTTTTTCTTTATGTAAAGGAGGATTCAGTGCTGGGAGTTGGAACTGCAAGAGGGATTCTTCAGAATGTATTCCAGAAGGTATCCCACTAAAGCACTTAAAATGTACTCACTTAAGCCTTCCCTAAACTGGATCTGAAGTTAGATGTGGGTTTAAATCCCCATTTTGTTTGTGATTTATGTAAATATGGTTACCTAATCTCTCTGGCCTCAGTTTCCTCATCTGTAAATATGGGGATTAGATGGTCACTAACGTCCCTTCCCATGCTTACATCATAATTCAATAATCATTTCCAACGTAATGGAAAGACAGAAAGACTAGCAGAGTTGAGTTCAAGGGCATAAACATGACTCAGAATAAGACAAATAGATGCTACAATAGGATAGCACTAGTGTGTGATATCTATGTTTTGCAGGTGTCAGCATATCCTTTATACTCTGTGGGACTCGGCACCAATGAAAGAAAAAGTCCAAATCAATGTCACACACATACACATACACGACATATGTACACATGTGTGTATTGGTATATGCACGTGTATAATGTATGTGTAGTGTGGGTGTGTATTGGTATGTGCACATGCACACATGTCTATACATGCACTGTGTGTGCACATGCATAAATTTTGATATTAAAACACGTTTCTGAAAATATGTACATATATAATGACATGTATGTATGGCAAAGGCTTCTACTAGTTGGAAATACAAAGCAGCCACTATTCACCATGTGGACAAGGCAGTGAGACACAAGTTGTTGTTACCACCCAAGGCAATATCGTATCTCCACCCAGTTCTTATTATATGTTGACTAAGGGTCACTGTCCCAGCTTAGCTCACAATACTCAGTGGTTTCCTGTTACCTAGCGAACCAAGTTCAAACATCTTTATTTGACCAGCAAGCAGGGCATTCCAAAATCTACCAACATGCTACCTTTCCAGCTTTATTTTATCTTCCTCGTTCCTGATACTCTCTGCTCCAGCTAAACATGACTTGCTATTGGTCTGTTTTAAGTTGTCTTTGATTTTGAGGCAGTAGCCATGAACTAAGTTAAGCACTGCATTAGGGAAGACTCCTTTCTGCCACTGTGGAGGTAGGGGAGTTTGGGCATCAGCAGAAGTACCCTGACTCTAAGGAATGTCCTTCCTCCTCCTTTTCCAACTGTTCAGTGCCACCTCCTCCACACAGCCTCTGCTGATCACCTCGATCAATATTGCCCTCTTGGACCTCCCAAAGTATTCTTGCTTTGTATTTCTCTGATGTGCTACATATACTTATCCTGTGACCCTACGTGTCAGCCACCACTTGGGAATTATGGTTAAAGGTCACGGCCTATTACTGTGCTGTAAGAAATGACAAATACGAGGAATTCTAAGAAATATAATAAGACTTTTGTGAACCAATACAGAATTTTTAAAAGTCAGGAGAATATGCTACTTGACTATACTAATAACAAAATGGAATGCCCTATACTCCCCTACCTCCACAATGGCACAGTGGAGTCTTCTCTAAGGAGATGCTTAACCTAGTCCAACGGCTACTGTCCCGAATTCACAGACAACTTAAAGTAGACCAACAGCATAGAATGGTACTCTATTCTGTGCCCTTGGGAGATCGAAAAAGAATCTGTATGGACTGAGGAATCAATGTTATGGACAGCATTTCAGACAGTGTAGAAGTAAGCTTTTAAAATCAGAAAATATACTCTAGGGATGAGACCAAGTATTTCATAGAATAGGCCTTTTTCTCCAAAGGCCTCAAAGTCAGTGCCATCCATCTCAGCAGCAACGCTCAGTGATCCTATAACCTACTTACTGGCAA